AAGTTCTTGGTAAAGGGAGATGAAGGAAAATGGACCATGGAAAAAAGCATTTGTCGGCGTTTCTTCAGAAATGTTTCGCCGTAGAAATTATTAGCCCATTGTCCCTAAAAGAAGTCGGAGCAGATGATTGAATTGATGGAGCCACATCACCAGAAATCGTGTAATGTGCTGACGTTATACATCGAGGATTTATATTATTCGATGGTACAGGCCGAACTGTGAGAGACTGGGGCAAGGAAATGTTGGCAAAATTTCAATCTGCCGCTGGTATTGATGTAGACGGTTTTCTACGCATTTTGGAGTTTTATCTAAGGACCACTGGAATAGGGTATGAAAGAGTCCAGTTTATTCAGGAGGGAGTATGTGTCGGTTCTTAGATTACGCCAATTTTGTTTGAAATTTACTCGAACGAGTTAGATAGGAGCTTTGATACGTTTCTGGTTTGTGCGCCGAATGCGAGTTTTGTTGCACGCCGGTACGTTAATGACATTTCGATTTGTGCTTTTGAGTGGTTCAGTTGAGGAAATTAAGCAGTGTGCGGAGCAAAAATTGTCTTCAGGCGTCTTTTACGGAGGAGAGCCCCCTTCAGGGCCAAATTTATTGGTATTTGGATTTGTTGCTGCACACGGAGAATGGCAATTGTTGCACATACGGGAAAGAGTTCGTTCAGGATTTCAAAGCTGGAATTGGTTGTACACGCGAAAAATATGACACTCTCAAATCTGGAATCGCCGGCCTAAACAATCGGATGAAGAAAAATAACCAAAGTTCGGGGGCCTCCCCGAAAAACCGAGCGAGACGTGGGACGTGGGCTTCTCTCTTCGAAAGCGAAGAGAGAAGCTATTGAACAGCTCCTCTCTTTGCCTTCGTGACACGGACCTTTCCGAACTCGTACCTTCGGAAAGGCGGCGTCATTCTGGCAGTCGCCGACGTTCGTACAAACTTAGCTATTTCTCACATGAAGTATACAAAGAATGACGTCATAAAATGAACGCCGGACATGCGTCTACGGTGTCTAGTTGTTTTTTGTTTTTTTTTGTTTTTTTTTTTTCTTTTATCAACGCATAATAATAAAACATACTGCTCACGTTTAACGGCACACGGCGAAATTCCGAAAGCCTCGATATCTCTCCGGGGACGTGCAAGTAGGCAGCTTGCCGACGGCGAGATTAGCGCCGAGCAGAAAAGGAACTACGTGGTGCATGGAAGCCGCATCTCGGAGCACCGTTTCAACTACGGACGGACCGAAGATAACACATGTGCGGCATACCGGAGTATTCTGACGCGGCTCTTCCCAAGTCCTTCCATGCACGAGGCACGCATATCCTGTGCTGCACAGCGTGTCGTCATACGCCCCAGTCACGTGACTAACAAACAAGAGGCTCGAAGAACGCTCCTTGGACGAGGAATTTGCCGAGCTTTCTCCCCTCATCTCGAAGCGTAAACGGCGGTTGCCTGAGTAAGGGATAAAGTGGCTAGAGGCCACATCACCGAACTGCGCCTCTAGAACGCTCCCGCGAAGGCGTAATGACCTCCGGTATACTTCGGTAAGATGGGCGCGTCGCAGCCTTCAAAGGAGTCACCGGGAGGGCTGCTTCGATATCCACAAGATGTCACAGAGATGTCGAAGCACCCGCGGGATGCAGTGGCAACCGTTGCGAGGCGTAATCACTATACAGAAAAATCAGTAGATCCCCGAGCATGTCAAGAGCGTGTGAGCAGACCTCCAGGGAGGTCTGGCGGAAGCGACTACAGCGAGGGAAGGAGACCACAAGACACTCCCGTTCTAGCCCACCATACTTGTGCCGGTTGCAGAGGAGGCACGTCTGCAAAAGCACCTCGTGAAACCAACAACCCCGATAAAATTCGGCACCGAGAGATACTTGACGACTCTGCGTCTTTTCACTTGGCCATGCAGCTCGCGCAGAATGATGCAGAGAGGCGACATCAGACCTTGCGTCGGCCCATTCGGGAAGATCCCATCCCAGCAACGCCCATCTCACACCGAGTGAAGAGCACATCCGCAGCGGTGCGAATAAAGGGCAACCCGGACAACCGTTCCAAGCAACACAGCGAAGGCCTACGAGGGGGGTCATCACCATTCTCGCAGATGCGTGTCTCGAACCATTGTCCGCTACGAAACACGGCGTACTACGACGTCGTCAGTGTAACCGAGTGACCGTCAAGAAACTCGGCCATCGCGATCTCTGGCCACGTTTCCGAACACCGGACACGAGTGTCTCTGATCAACTCCGATCATCGTAGATATGCAGCACCGTCTTTCCAGGTCCCAAAACTGAATAGTGGTGGAATGCGCCATAGCCTCCGCTATACTCACATAGCCTGGCAGCTCGACGACGGAGCCATGGAGTGCCCGGTCGCAGATTCGGAGAGCGAGGATCTGGTAGCACAGAACATCAAAGAGCCATTTCTGGGGGAACCTGGACGTCAGCGCACAGCTTTTGCAGCGGCGAGGACCCGAAACACAATTGTTCAGTTAGGAGAAGTGTTTCGGCGTCTCGCCAAAGCGGGGCGCCAGTCACATATGGCTCTCCTCTCATCCGTTGTCTGCCGCTTCACCTTTTCCAATTCGGCGGCCCTTCTCGTGGCGATTTGCCAGGCTTTGCCAGTATATAGGAAACTGTGACTGCATGTATGTACCGCGTGTACGGGGCTGCTGGCGCCTGGCAGTGAAGTGCACCTGCTTTGCGCGCTCATATGTCCATTCATAAGTCGGAGAAGGCGGCACGGTCCCGATGCGGAAAACGAAATCCCAACTAGCAAGGACCATACCACCATTCGTTTCACTCCTAATCCCTCTCTCCCCTTGGGACAAATGACGGACGTTTTTCACAACAATCTTCAATGGCCCCTTGGGTTCGCATCGTTCCGTCGAAACACATTTCGTGGACTACGTTTCGTAAACCACAGTTTGCGGAAAACTTTTTATGGACACGTTTCGCCGAAGCTGCGAGGTTTCGTAGAAACAGTTCGATGGACACATGCTCCTGCGACGTTTCGTCGACAATATATATATATGTTTTACTAAGCGAATTGTCGCGGATTCCTGGTTTCATTTAGGTCGCTAGAAGCATACAGGAACTAAGGTTCACTCACCCAGGCGGCTCCGATAGGGCAAACTCGCGAGCCCTAAACCCAGGCTACCTAAGGCTACCGAACAGACCGCGCCACGCGCGGACACCTCTTGCTTCGCTTCCCTCGGTGAACATTTAATACAATCAGAGACACGATGTTACACACCAGGCTTTATCGCAACAGCAAAGAGTTCGGCAAGCTAGGCTCTGGATGCCGGCGATCGAGGCGATGTGCGCAGAAATACGATTTTTTAGACGAGACGTGGCAAGGTGTGTCCATGAGACCAAGGCTGGAACCTTTCGATGAAACGTCGCAGTGTTGACGAAACGATCTGTCGATGAAGCGTCCTGCTTTCCACCGCTTTCAAGTCACCTGGCCTTTCTGAGCTTTGCTCTCAGAAGTCAGCAATGACCGCAGTAGGTATCACGAATCCATGTCTCGGTAGGGAAATCTGCCGGCCGGTGGTCTGGGGCGGGTCGCTCCAAGCAGAAAATAATACCAACAAAGAGAAGAGAAAAAAAATCGCTGGGTGAAATGTGACACAGAAGGAAACATCAACAACACCGGGAGGAAAAAAAAAAGGCGTGGCTACTTTTGAAAATTAGGGCGTTTCCCGATACTTCGACCGTTTCGATCAAATAAGAAAAGAGATCGTTACGAGCGCGTACATTGAAGATTTAGTCAACATTTAGGCGGATACGACTTCATGGGATTCGTCTTTTAAAGGATAGCAATGAATCAACCCGAGGGAGTTCTTGGAAGAGGTGATGGACAGACGGAACTTGACGTTAAGGCAAGCCGAAGACTGATAAATTATAAATCAATCGCTCTGGTTGAAAACTCGCCTATCCTTGCAGCAAAATGGTGAGTTGGACTAGTTTGTGCATCACGTACTAAAAGCGCCACAAAACAAGGACAGAGTAAGGATTGACGGCAGGAAGTGCCTATCCTTCAATAAAAAATGATACAAAGAAAAATCGACATATGTTGTATTCTTTCAACCATATCAGGAACCCAATAAACGAAGTTTACCTCGGGGCGGCTTTCGAAAGACGGACAGGATTAACCGCTTTCCTCGAAAATAGCTCGACTGACCTCGATCGACTGCAGGAACTCGCTTTTATCCTTCTCTGGGGTTGCGGGATTTTCTTTAAATTCCTCCTCTTTTTTTATTTTCCTTCCACAGGACGTGATCACTTTAAGGGGACTTCAAGAGACCATTAGACAAGTTCCTTACGAAGCAGACTTCTTCCGTCTTGAGAAGTAGCACCAGCTTCATAACCTCGAACACTGCAAATAAATGGCACCACGCAGACCCAGCTCAATGTAGATTTAAATTAGGATATAAAAAGAAACTACTATAAACCAGTTCTGCGATGCGAGTGGCGACGAAGAACGGTAACGAAATAAATCGGAGTGCCGTCCAAAGCAGCATCGGCGATCGGATTAGGCGATCCGCTCGGTTGGACCATTACTCCGGCGTCCAGAACGTCTCAAAAGTTCCATCCGATACGAGTCTCGACTTCCCGAACGTCCGGCAGAACGCATCTCTCTTCCTTTTTAGAAAAACCGGCTTCGCGCGGAATTAAAAAGGTGGACGCGGCGCAGATCAGGAGCGCGATTATGAAAGAGGTTCGGCTTCGCATCGAACGTGGGACCGATGGGCGCAAAGGTTTTCGCCGATCCGTCGTTCAAGGCGCCCCCGCCAAGCTTGTCGTTCGATGCCCTCCCCCGCCTGGCTTACTTTCGGAGTGAGAAAATAAATGTAGCGAGGTAGATTGAGCCACACCTGGGCCGTGATCTAGACACAGGGCGCGCGGCGGCGGCGACGAGCTGGCCCGCCGGCCTTCCCCCGCCGGCCGGGTGCCCCACGCCCCCCGTGCCCCCGCCGCCGGACCACTTACCTGGCGGTCAAGTTCGACGTTTAGGCCTAGCTCCTCGGCGGCCCTTGGACACTGCTGCACCGGGGACACTCGGACGGCAGCATCCGACACCGTGCACACCACAGGCCGCGAGAACAAAACACCGGCGTCGTATCCAAAAGGCGCGCGTGGTCGACACGCTGGCTGTGCGCAGCCGCGGTCGCTGCCTCGAATGCCTGACGTGGACGGGGCTCCCGTGCTCGTGGTCTCGTCGGTCTCGTGCGGACGAGGATGCGTTGACTTCACGTCGGCGCTACGGGGAAGTCGGCAGGCCGAGCGCTTCTTCGAGGGAACACTCCGAAATCGTGCGGGGCTGGAAACGCGCGCCCCTCGAACACTCAACTTTGCCTACAGGTGTCTGTGCGGCTCTTTTTTTCGTTTGTTGTGAATTTCCTTTTTTCTTTTTGCGTTCGACGCGCCATCTATAAGGAAATATTTCAACTTCTAGTTACATTGCGCGTCCGTAGATGGCAGCACGAGACAGGACGACAAAATAGGGACCATCATCGGGCCCGTCGGTCACGTCGGTTACGTTCACCGAGTGTTGAAATTTGTTGAAATACTTAACCGGCTTGAAAGACAGCTCCGCTTCATTTTTGTTTTTGGAAAAAACAATGAAGCCCCATTGAGTCTCAAATAGAAAGACCACGCGTCAAATATCAAGACATAGTTATCGCTAAATGTTTCTTTTTTTAAACGGTCGGGCAAACATTGCAAAAACTCGCCAAGTTGCCGAACTCGGCTGACTCGAGTGGGCACAACTGGGTGCAACCAACAGTGTGGCGATATTTCATCAAACCTCGATTTTGACGTCGAATCGTAAGGTACAACTGGCTCGCCGACCTTCAACCTTTCAAGTATGGGTGTCGTAACTTTTGTCGACCTCGATTTTGACGTCGAACCTCAAGGTGTGAGTGGTTCGCCAAATCTCCGACCTTTCACTAAACTTCGAAAAAGTTCGACTTATGGACAGTGTTGCCCGGCTGCCACACGAATATTTAGAATTTTGGGAAGCATATAATTTAGAAAGTAGTTGATTTTATATTTTATAAAATGGTTACCAATGTTTACACCATTTGAAAGAGAAAATATGCGCTTTTAACGCTCTCATCAGTTAGTAATGTGAACCAGTGGTGCCAATTAGAGCACTGCACGGGCCGGAATTTCTAGGCCCGGCCCGACCCGGCCCGATAGAGACACGGCCCGGGCCCGGCCTGTGCCCGACAGAATTTTTAATTTCTAGGCCCGGCCAGACCCGGCCCGGAAGAGACACGGCCCGGGCCCGGCCCGAGCCCGACAGAATTTCAATTTCTAGGCCCCGCCCGACCCGGCCCGATGGCTGTAGCCCGAAACAACCCATTCCCGTTTGAACCCGTCCCGTTTCCACCCGTTCCCGAAACGAGCTCCCCATTTGAACCCCGTCCTGTTTCGACCCATTCTTTAAACGCCCTTCCCATATGAACTCATCCCGTTTCGACCAGTTCCCTAAACGCGCTTCTCGTTTGAACTTGTACTGTTTCGACCCATTCCCTAAACGCCCTTCTTATTTGAACCAGTTTCCGAAACGCCCTTTGCGTTTGAACGCGTCCCGTTTCAACCTACTTTTATAAGGCCCTGCACATCGCAACCTCTTCGCAAATAGTCTCCATCGTTCTAAGCTGTGGTTCTAAGCCTGGTCTGCGCACCTTTTCTGTTTAAGAATATGTTCTCAAGTAGCTTTACATGTCAACGCGTTCTTAAAGGGGTAGTGAAACGAAATTTTAGCGCCGATCTTGTTGCATAAATATGGGCTAGTGACAGGCACCACCTCGGAAATATAAATATTGCGCTGTAAAACACAGGAGAACTAATTTTAAACATAATTAAACGATTTCAAATTCTCATCTGGTGGATGGGGGGAAGTTCTCGTGACATCACTTGTGCCAAAATAGCAGCGCCGTTCTGCGGCAATACGGCGTGCCGGCAGAATTCGCCTAGGCCTGAACGCGTTTGCAAACAGGGGGTAGAAGCTGAGCTAGTTGGTGGTACATATTACAACGGTTAAACCAGCTGAACTACGAAATTAGGGAGAAAGGTTGGTAGTCCAGCGATCACCTGTCTTTACTCCTTTCTCCCTAATTTCGTAGTTCAGCTGGTTTAAGCGTTTGCAAAGCTTTGGCGGAAAAAGCCAAAGCGTAGTTGGCCACAGTGAGCTCGTTCTCGTTGCGGCTCTTTGCACGACACGGCCCGAGCATGCTTCTGGCACGGCCGGTATTAGTTGCTGCGAGTCGCGAGCTGCAAGCCGACGTTAAAAAGGATATGTTTGAACTACGAGGGTGTCAGCAAGAGCCACGCAAATACCTGTTCACACTCGGAGCGGACACGCGCGTTTGATCGAAGTGCTGGATTCGCTCTGTTAGACCGCGTTTCGGTAAGCGCTTCTGGACCGATCTTTTACGATTGCAACTCGATACTGACATGACACTCGGCAAAGAAAGGTTAGACCGACATCGCGTAGCTCCCACGAACTGCTATAGACCGACACGCGGAGCGGCTCTGTTTACCAACACGGCCGGAGGGCCGCGCATGCGCGGTAGCTATGTGGGCAAAAGCAGCCCGGCTGTCCGTGTTTTCGCCATTGCGCTCTATGGTGTGCGCTCGTTGTTGACGTTGTAGGGACGCTTCTAGCTTCATTTGTGCGTCGTATTTCCTCATAACGTATGTCGTATGCTATGCCCGACTATTTGAGCTCGTTGCCCGAGCCTGAACGGCAGCGGTATCGAAACAAACTGTGCGTGGACGGCGTTGCCTACGAGGATCCGTACGCCGTAAACAAGGCCTGCTGGACTTCCGACGTAAAGTTGCTGCCACGGAAGTCAACGGCTCAGGTCGTCGTTTATTTAGTTTTTTCGCAAAGCCAGTTCACGGCCGACACGGTGCAGGCGTACAAGTTTCTCGAGGTCTACGATTACATCGAGTCGGTTTCCGCACTGCCGGCGGGATCAGCAGACTGTGGGTCTGCGGAAGTGTGTGTATTCATTAATTGATTAAATACACAGAGCGTCTTCAAGTCAAGGTATGATATTTTTCATACCCTCATGACCACAAGGCATTACAACCAGTAAAGGTTTGTCCGTTCTGCAGTCTTGACGGTAACAGGTTACAAGTAACGGCGTTACCAGGAACGCGTTACGTTTTTCAGTAACGTAGTAACCTGCTCGTTACGTTTTCGGCACAGTAACGGGTAACGTACTTATGTTACTATTTCAAATAACGTAGTTACGTTAGTCGTTACTACTTCCCAAGTCATAAAAAAATTACACTTCAATTGTTTCCGTGTTTTAGGCGTCAAGCCATGTTTTTCTTTGCGTTTTTTCTCGTAAGTGTTTAGGTGAAACCGTGAAAAGAGCTAAAGTAATTATGTTCAGTTTCTGCATGAATATAATGTTTCTTGATATATGACCTGTATCGTCAAAACCGTAAAATGTGTTACATCTTAATTTAGAAAAGTAACGCAGAAGTAACGTGCCTTACTTTTTATCGGTAGCGGCAACGCGTCCTTTTTTTTTTTTAGATAACGTAGCTCAGTAACGCGTACCTTTTATTTTCAAGTAACGAGTAACGTATTTCGTTACTTTTTTTTTTTGGTAACGCCTACAACACTGCCGTTCTGTTGTCGATCCCTTTCTGCTCGGTAGCACGAGCGTAGCGAGCCTCCGACGAGCGCTTGGGGGGTGCCCGGGTGCGTTGTGCGCGAACACCGTGGAAACAAAATCCGGGTGGTCTCAATCAGACAACGGTTTCCCTGCACATATGCAAGCCTCGGGACGGAGATTGAAATGGAAGCCGCACTTGCCTCCAAGAAAGTGTTTGCCGCACAAACGGTCGTTCGCGCGAGGCGAACATTCTTTTCGATCCACGGATGTGATCCACCTTCTATGCGTTTCAGAGTCTGCCGGGAACTTGTGGAAACTCACTCCGGTGCTTTTCTTGTACATTTCGGTGCAATTAACGGCAACACAGCTTCGCGGCATGCTGAAATGCTATGACGCCCATGCGAAACGTGCGCGCTTTTGCCCACACCCCCCGGCTCCGGCGCGATCGCAGCGCCGCCGCAGCTCCGTGACGTCAAGCCCGCGTGTCGGACGTAGCGTCGAGTCAGAATAAAAATGGCATACTAATAACAGAGTGTACATACCGAGTTGCCAAGGTAATCCGTATGGCGTTTATTTGAGCTCTATATCACACAAAACAAGGAGATAGAATCAATGAGAGTCCCTTTTCGACGACAGCGTTCGTCACCGCTGTCTCGGAAAACAAGGAGATCGAGATGACAAGGGGAAAATATTGACCTCTGAAATTTAGTTCAGGGATCAAACTACTCATCCGGTAAGGGTCCACAAGGGTCGCGCGGGCATATTCCATTCAGCAGGCCAGCCGGTCATGGACAGACGGTCTTGGCCAAGGACCGCCGGAGCAACGGTGCGCCGAGTCGATGTTGCTGCTAGGCCTACTATATTCTGCCGAGCTCGCTCGGTCGGCAGAATCGTGGCTGTAGCTCTTCTCGTGTGTTTGTGGATCCTGCGTTCTTGATCGTCGTGGTCTGTTTTAAGTACTCCTTCCTTTTTTCTTGCTGGTTGAAGTCGGGACGCACGAGAAGAGCACGAAGAAAAATAAATGTCCGTTGGTGGCCGATACCAAGTAACTGAGCGACGCTGTCGGCCTTGTTGATTTGATTGTAAAAAGTGCGTAAGACAGCTTCGGAGCTGTCGTAGGATTCTGTCGTAACCTGCGCAAAGGTTACGACAATTTCGTTTCGAGAGCACGGGTTTTCTCTCAAATTTGTCGTACGCACTTTTTTCGTCGTGAATTCGCTTTGAGAATCCGGCCTCAGAGCTGGTTTTGTCAGTGCTGCCGTGGTTGCCGACTTGCCGTGGTCCCGTGGTGCAGCGTGCGTGCAGCCCTTGCACATCTCAAACGGCCACGTTGTCACAGGTCGTAAATCGTCGACGCGCCACCAAGTGGCAACGCTCGTAACCACAACATTCACGCCGTAGCCACCGTAGCCTTTCCCGACTGGCACAAGTGACGTCACGAATGCGCCCAATATCCCAAGACGCATCGCGCTCTCCGATGGCCGATTTTTGAGCGCGCGCCCAATCGGGCTTATTAGGGTGAAAAATATAGCCATCCGTTCAAAATACAAACGCGCGATTATGATTTATGAATATCATTGATCATATTGAACCTATTTCTGACCATAATAGGTGTATTTCAAGTTTCGCTTCAGTATCCCTTTAAAATATACAACCAATATACAACGGACTATATACACTGCGCGACACTGATACCGCGAACACGACGTTGGCTCTTTTTCTGAATTTTTCATCGAAATGGTATTAGTAGGCACCAAAGT